GGCAGACATATGAATACGATGTGCCCTTTGTAAAATCAACAGGACAGATCGCAACGAACGATAGAAAAGTTACAAGTAGAAGACTTCGTCTTGGACACTGTGGGTTAAATGCTCACCACACTGCCATTGATAAAGAGGTCTCCACTGTATGTAATCATGTAATGAAAATGCAAACGAGACAGTCTATCTTTGTAATTTCCTGAATACTCCCTTTTCTCCAATTACACTCCTTTGACCCAACGTAGTATATGGTTCAATTCGGCAGTCACTATTCGGCTTTGCCATTAGACTTCAGAACAATTTAATATGTATGACAGAATTTAATGTACAAACATTGTGTATGGATATTTAAAACATTTTAACGATTGATCTATTTTTGACGGATCTCCTTCCTTGTGGAATGAGTTCTTAGTTCAAAACTGAATAGTGAATAGAGTACACAGTACACAGTAAGCAGATTCCTCAATCATCTAAAAATCATTGCTCAGGTTCCTCTTGTTCATATTTGGGTTCTTAGTTCAGAACTGAAATAGTGAATAGAGTAGACAGTAAGCAGATTCCTTAATCATCTCAAAATCATTGCTCAGGTTCCTCTTGTTCACATTTGGGTTCTTAGTTCAGAACTGAAATAGTGAATAGAGTAGACAGTAAGCAGATTCCTCAATCATCTCAAAATCATTGCTCAGGTTCCTCTTGTTCACATTTGGGTTTTAGTTCATTTGAAATAGTGAATAGAGTAGACAGTAAGAGATTCCTCAATCATCTAAAAATCATTGCTCACGTTCCTCTTGTTCACATTTGGTGTCTTCTAGAAACCAAACCCTACGACCCTACGACCTCTACTGCTAAGGGTTTGTTTACATAACTATAAAATCCTCACTCATTCTAATAACCTTTAAAATGAGCTTACCAGTAATATCCTAGAGATTTTGATGCATGTAAATATGTATGTGATAAAGATATGAATTGTCTTTTTCAAGTCTAGAATATGTAGTGGTACTGGAAATAATGGGAATCATGAGTAAATGTAAGCAGTCTCAATGGTGAATTGTTTCTGCATTTAAAGAGGCAGGCTAACTGGTAATCCTTCAAAGTATCAACTTTGACTGAAGTTTGTCAACTACTACATTGTATCCATCTTCTACTAGGAACATTAGTATGTATATGACTTTATGCAAATTTCATGGACGCCATAATTACACCTACACAGTGGCTCACTTTCAAACAGTCTACAAATTACAATGTCTAGCCCTCCAGTTGAAATGGACACAACGTCGTGAGTTCCCCTTGACATGTAAATATATATCCCGGTTCTAGTGCCTTTGATGTGCATTGGACTACCCCAGAAATCAGCAGTGACTGCCTTTCGTAGTACATTTTGAACGACGACCAATGGCATCTGGCATTTCATAGGATCAGTCGCTATTTGCAATCACTCGCTTGTTTGTTTGTCAAATCAATATACCAAATATGGTCAGTGGCACACACATCTCATATTGGTCCAGATGTTTGTTTAATTAGCCACTGCTACGTTCTCTGAAGTCGTGTTAATATGATGATCATTAATAATCATATGATATATCGTGCAATTGTCTGAGGCACGTTTCTGAGTGTTGGAATCGGATCCCTGCATTTAAATATATTCAATGAACACGAAACATTTTGTCGTGTAAAGATTTGATAACAATATATCCATTTATTTTTTTGTTTTAAATAACATTAGTGAGTGAGTGCGTTTAGTTTTACGCCGCACACAGCAATATTCCAGCAGTGTATGGTGGCGGTCTGTACATAATCGAGTCTGGACCAGACATTCCAGTGATAAACAGCATGAGCATCGATCTACGCAATTAGGAACCGATGACATGTATCAATCAAGTCAGCGAGCCTGACCACCCGATCCCGTTAGTCGCCTCATACAAGCATGGGTTACTGAAGTTTAAATAACAATAATGATAACAGACAAGGCGTTGAACTTTCAATCAAAATTATACTTACATCATTGATATGTACATACTTAGGTGCAATACAATACATGGTTAAGTTGTATTCAACTAAAACTACGGAGGACATGATTATGTCAATGAAGTTGAACCCAGTAGTTGTATTTGCAGAACAATACGACGAGCTGATGAAAACTCGAAAAATATGTCTTGTTGCCACGTCACAGTTACGAGAAGAAGATTGTGGATACTTCCAAATATAGAATATTAAAGAGAGACATGCATGATGTTCACATTGAAAACGATTTGGTGCGTGTTTGTTCTTCTAGAATTTGTCTATTGTGTGTACCTATTAGCTTAACGTTTTTGATTATTTATCATTCAAATTACGTGTGGACATGGAATGGGAGACGATGAACAAGGCTATATCCTAAAGTTGAGGGGCATTATCGACAGTTACTGCGTTCTGAACCGGCTAACAAGAATGGTTTCATGTATATTTATTAGAAGAACATTGTCAGGATTCAAAGTGACACGTTTTATTGACCATTTTGACACTGTCATGCTCGTTGAATAATATTGATCACACTTTACTAAAAAGTCACATGTGACTCAAATATTAGTTGACAGGAGAGCAACAACACCTACCCCCCTGCCCTCATGCAGCACACGTGGTAAACTCAAACGAAACGAAAGTCTCTCGAAAATCATGTCAGCGTTTTCAAAGAAATTACGGTAGGGATGGGTATGCATAATATATGGGACAGCCATTAAAGCTATATAGAGGAACTTTGCAAAAAGGTTGGGGTGGTTGTCAAAACCTAAAAGTCGTGAAGATCTCCATCGTAACTGTAGTTCTTCGAAGGCACACGGTCATGAGATGGAGCTGTCTAATGCAAGTACATTTGAACAATTAAAACGTTGCTTCTTATTATCACATCAGAAACCAAATGTCATCAGTGTAATGAAACTATTTACCTGAGAAACACTTTTAGTCTGGGAACATGTGATCGTTTGAATAATGTGCTGGCGTGCATGTCATGTTTACCTGATACTTTACTATTTAAGTATTTGAAACACTGAATTTTTTCAAAACTATTTTTTGGATATTGCTGCAATGGGTAAGTTGACCATATTTCCAGACATATGAACATTGAAGGCCGTTGTAATGAATAATATTATTCTTGTATTGATGTGGGTATGTGTGCCTTTAAGCGTACAAGCGCGTACATTGCGTACATCGTTGCTCAGTGTGTGAATATCTGGATTGTCTATTACTGAAGTTATTATTCATATTGACGAACATGCGATTAAACAACCCCAAAAAAACCCCACAAAAACAAACATGATTTTGTTACAAAGGTGAATTAAGAATTGTCAAGAGAAGATCATATAACTTGTCTTTGTGTCGTCCCAAAATATTAAATAAATACATAAGATGACCATTCATACATTCCCTATTCTCATCGGGCGAAAACATTTAAAGCCCCTTTCAACGCACGTGTTTGCTTTCAGCCTTTTCCCACAGATTACCGTAGATTTGGGTGCATGAATACACACTTCAGAATCATGATGTGTATACAAAGAAGTATATTTCCTGACGAATACATAATATGATCCAATTAAAAATACGCTAAGCAGATGTTGTATTATTGACGAACAACCTTTGCAACACACACACATTGCTTCAGTCAATCATGTTACCAGCATACATAATACAATTACTACAGGTTAGGAACAAACAGAAACCATAACCATTGTAACAGTTTGTTCTTGTTTCAATTATCTGCAATAGATTTCTTGGGATTTTTTGCCGAGCATGTAATATAGACCAGATGAAGCTATTTCCAGAATAACACGTCGTTCGTTATTGGTATGATAAACCCAGAGTCGTGTATCCAGTGTTTGTTTTGCCTCGGGGACGTACGGACACAGACAAATGTGAGGTACCTCCACAACACTGTCTGCTGGACGCTGGGGAAGCCAAATGACAGTGAAATGTTATCAAATTATCAAGTAGTACAGAAATGGTCTTCCGTAACAACATCGTAAAAGCTCTTTGAAGATGTTGCTCCAGGTTAAATGATGCTTCCAATTTTAAAGACAACTTTCCGACAAAAATACAAAAGAAGGATTTAACATTGTTATCTCAATATATCGTAAAAGGGGTACGTGGTAAGCATGCACTTTGCTTAAAATAAAATGCTTGATGTGGTCAATAATGGTGTGCTGGTTACGAAGACGCACGCCAGTAACATATGCATATTCATATAATTGATGGTGCTTAGATAATTTCTAAAGCGTGTGTTTGCTACACACTACTACCCCTGGGCGCAAGGAGTACTTCGCCAGCAAATGTCGTTCGTGTTATATACGTTTGGGGGCACTTCTGGTCGATGGTAGGTAACTAGCCTTGGGTCCTGTCTATTTCAGACTGTGACATGTCCCAGAGTCACGTTAATGTAATTTACATACTGGGATGAATCTAATTGTATAGGCCTGACAGGCAGGTGCCAAATTGCCAAACGCCCAATCTTTTTACTTAATATTTTTTGTTCAAAATCAATTTTAGCATCAGCTAACAACGTTTTGCATTATTCGGGCATGAGCAGAAACTGAGATGACTTGATTACATTAGGAGATCCAAATACCGTTAACGTTATACTTACAGTATTTTCTCTTTACGTCTCTGGTTTTAGGGATGGAATAACGTCACCAAGCGGAATAGCGTCAACTAAATTGGATATGACATTTATGAATGTATAAATGTGGACTGAAGTCTTGCGAATAGCAATATTGACAAGAGTGTGATGGTAAACATCATATTTCACGTCAAAAGGTGCAGCTTCTTGGTACATTACATATTAACATCGGAAAAGGTTTACCTTGCAAAACAGTCCGGCGTACTAAATTTAATGTATGTCACGAATAGGCTGGGTGTTTTACCATTTACGAGCTTCTAAGTGTAGCCAAATTTGATCACTTCCATATGCAACAATTAAATGTTTCAGATCTTACTTTATTGATGTTCTGCAATTTCTGTCTCTCTTTTGCTAGGAAATGCCTCTCCTGAGATCCGTGTGCGGGAACCTCAGTTTACAACGATGTCAGGCTCAATAAACCACAAGAAAGGAGATCTGGCGATACTGTACTGCTCTGTTCAGAATCTTGGTGAACGAACGGTAAGCAGTATTGGCAGTTGGTGTCAGTTACATGGATCTCGTTCCTTGCAATTTTTAAACATCAAAAGCATATCTATGAGACCTTGGTGTAAATGAAAGAAAAATGTTATCTCAAAGATAAAAAACCCTCAGGTGTGCTATTGTTGAAACCTGTGGTTTTAGCTGAGTGAAAAAATACACGTATACCGTCTGGTGCGTGACAGGACAAGTAATCTAGATAATGATGGGGTAAATAGGGAAAGTTCTTACGCATTCAAAACGAAAGTAATTGTTATGCTAAACAAAAAGGCCAGGGTCCGATTGCTTAGAGCAAAATAAAGATAGAAATAGTGAAGCATATGAGATCAGACGTAAGTTCAAGTATAATGTCCTTATTTGACCTATCTTAAGCACTCATGATAAAGCACACAATGAAATGCTCTATGCAATTTGGGGAGAATTCCCTGGGGTCAAACCACTCTATTCCTATATATCTGGGCAGTTGGATTGCTAAATGGCCTGGAATGATAACTGAAAATCGGCCGTGTGTCTAGCTGATTCCTGATCGAAGATGTAGGAGTCATGAGGGATTCCCCTGTCATTGACTCACAACGCTTGGCTTCGACCAATGTCTACTTACTTTTCTTGAATAATTCCTCGTTGCATGAGTTCGGCATAATCCCCAATGCCCTTCACAAGCTTTTGCAAATCCTCTCCGGACAAATTAAAAATCCAGACGGTGATTTGGCATTTTAAATTCCGACTGAGAATGTTCTGGTTCTGGGGAGATTTCAGTTATTAGTTTTGCTGGTTACATATAAGTAGAAAGTATGTCATGTTTTATGAGTAGTGACCGCAATTCATAAAAGATGTCAACCCATTTCAGTAACGATTGAAAGCCTCTGACACTTACACAAGTATAAATGTCTTCAGTTCTGATCACCCATCACACAGACTTTGCGTTTTGTACTCGTGGAATAATTCGTTCTATGCCCATTTAAACATTCAATGCCTTCGTTTAAGATGGGGTCGATGTAATATCCTCTTCTATTCATAGAAACTGACATTACATTCATCATTTGTAGCTGAAGGATAATATCCTTATCATCAATCTCAGTCCACAGACATTCTTAGATGCTGCTGTAAGAGTTGCATGCATCAATTTTCTTTCTATAGAAAGATGTTTCTTCTGAAACGACTCGGTCACAAACAAGTGAGTCCGGAATCGGCGACTTTTTTTCTCTTTTAAACTATTACCTAATATTGAATGGTCTTACCATTACCAGATATATCCAAAGTAGGGTGTTTCTATACGCCCAGATAGTATGTTATGCAAAATATACGTCGTATTTGATACGCTGTGAAACTACAGGAAGATACACCAAGACAATGGATGTAAGTGATCGATGTGGCAAGAACGTTTCGAAGACATCATGTTTACAAACTCAACATTGTGACAGTGGCTTTTGACAGCACGTCGATTGTCACTCAGAATTGGTTATCGTATTCCGGGAACCAAACTATACAAGACACCAAACTGAGCATGTTCAATCATGAAGCATGATTGATTATGAATCGTTTTCAACGTACTGAACGTTACGTGTCATAGGTATATTCAGGTGGGCACATCTCACTGCAGTAGTATTGCCGAACCTCTGCATGTTTCTCAATCTGTCATCAGTAGATTCTTACACCAATAACAGTAGAAATAATGTCAATGGTCCACACACGCTTCTAAGGTCAACAATTTCAGCCCAGGCTGATGAACAGAACGATGGCATTAAAAAATCGGTTGCAAACTGTCTCTCAGATACGTGGCCGGTTGCAACAGGCAACTAGTGTAAGAGAACACGCTCAGAAAGTGCAAAGTCGTCTGTAGGGCATGTGAATGTGTCATCATTAGCGCGTCATATGAATCTTGATGAAAGGATTATATTGACATTAGTACTGTGATAATCGACGCAGACTGCTATCAAATTTTCTAACGAATCAAGGTTCATTCTCAAATTCCATCCGAACATGCCTAAAGGAATGCCTATATGTCTGCAAAAGAGGTGGTTCTAATCTATGCAAATTCCGACTTGACCCCGGCCTCTTTATGACCTCTAGTGTGACCTCTTATGAGCGTTTTATGGACGTTATAACACGATCGATTTGGGGTGGATGGCCCCATAATAGGTGGGTATGTGATGGTATCACAAAGACTTGCCATACTGCCCTTCGTAATGTCCATATCAAAGACATCACCGTTGGACCACTCGTTTTGCCATGTGTTGGGCAACGTTTCATCGTTCAGCATGATAATGCAAGTGCTCATCTTACCAGTGATTGTGACCCGATTAGTCCAACATCAGAATATCCATGTCATGCTATGGTCATCTCAATCAAGACCTTTCCCCCAATGACCCACTGGGAACGTCACTGACAGACCTGTACGTCAACCAATCACCCATGTGTTCCATGTGTGAACATGACACTGGTCGACTCACTGGACATTCCACAGGGAATTTGTGAATGTCTGGTGAAAGGACGTGGCTTTAATTTATTCAAATTCCGATTTTCCCCGACCCTTTTATGACCTAGTAGTGTGTCACTATATCATCACACCCACTATTGGAACCCATTACAACTAATCGTCTACTCCCCAGCTGGGATGATGATCATATCATTTCCATTTTCTAATACCATATGGGTCAGTAGATATGTCTCTATCATTCCCACTATCCCTGATGTTTTTGGCATAATGCATTTAAACCCGCTAAAATATAGAATGAAACAAAAACCAGAAACTCTTGTCTGATTGCACAAGCTTTGCATATCTATGTTAAGCTGACATTATAATTATCCCAGATGTGTTAAACGACGAGAAAGTGCACTACATGGTAACAATTGCGGGTTCAAGAGAACTTTAAACTTTGTCACTCGCATCAGTTCGGACCTGTCTGGACCAGATTTACATCGTTCTAACGAAGTGGGTGGATCAGTTACTCTTTTCCGGTTACTGTCTCAACCTCACTGATTTAATTCACTGTAACATTAATCAGTGAGAAGAATCTACACCATACACGCAAGCTGGATACAAAGTACTTTTGAAAGATTATGTCCATTGCGGGAACACTAAGTGTAAGTTAAGAGACAGATTATGTCTGTGATGGCGTGGCCTCCACAGTCACCTGCCAGCTTGAAAAAACGCCTTGTCTGTGAGGAGTCAATACACGTAAACCGATCCTCGTATCATGCGGTCCGCTCTCTCTGGAGCATGTGACCATCGTTGTCTGGAACCTCGTGATAACCAAGGCTATGTCACATGAAATACCTCATGCATCAAGAATGGTGTATATGTCCTATTGGGTACCCCATGAAGAGAACATTTCACGTTACTCTACTTCAGTGGGACGGAGAAGATATAGTTTTACCCTGCATCGGCATCGTTTAATCTCTTCTAAGCGGAAATACTTAACGTTTTATTTACAACGACAACGGCATCGACAGACTTGCAAGGATGCTAATGCTACTGTGGCTGTGCTGGGTTCCAATTACTATATGGAGTTGCTGTGTGAACCCACTAGGTTACAATGACCACATGTAGAGTCGAACACTGAATTCCTTATTTCTCGGTATTGGTGCATTTTTATTAATTCTTAACGACATTATTCAAGCACGTAAATGGTATCTTCATAATTGGTTTTGCTTACGTAGATTCCTGGGGTTAACGGTATACATTTTTTGTCTTTTCCACTCAGTTCCACTCATGTAATCCCTCTTCCCCATTTACTGGCCTCTCTTCAATCTCTACAAATAGCGATTTGCGTCCATTGCAATAACCCCAGATCACTGACTTCGATCGATCACTGCTGAATGTACACTGGTCTGTAAAGAGGAAGGGCGTTTGTTTTAGGACGAGCTAAATAAATGTTGTAAATGCCCAAACTGTACATGCCGTAAACGTGCAGATGAAGCTTAATATAGTGTACATATTCGTGTCATTATTCCACCTGTAATATGGAAAGGCATAGGAATGTTGCCAATGTTTTATCACCATGTTGACTGAAATGCCATGCCTATCGACAACAACACTTCGTGCAGACAAGAGCAATTTTACCCCACTCTTAACTCGTAGCTGCCAGCGTGTTCAGAGGCTACAGGAACAAGACAGATGTTAACTTTGCCAACCAAATTCGATTGGAGAGAGAGTGATGGTTTGAGGCGAGGTATTCGCGCCATGACGTGTCCATCTTCACAATGGTAATTCGCATTTCACCACGCCGTGAAGACCAATGGCTTGGGTGGTTGCAATGGCATTCCTCCTTCGGGTTTGTGAGAACCGCAGTGATGGCAATTGACCGAACGGAACCTGCCGCAAGCTTATCCATACAACACAATACGGTATGGCTGAAAGTGCACACAGCTGAATATGCATGTCTTAAAAAATTCCTAAGGATATGCGGGAAGAAGTCAAGTTTCCTTAAATTCAATACTGCAGGTCATGAGCTCAGAGACATACGCCCCAAGTATAAAACCTAAATATTGCAAATTCATGCAAACAGACAAGCCATTGACGCGCTAACTGCCGAATCAAGATTGTTCTTTTCATTTCCAAATGCGAGAAATATTCCGGAATGGGACTGGAGTACAGATTCAATTTTATTGACTGTTTGGTAAATAGGAACTTTCACACTGTGAGAAATAAGACATATTCAACAAGCGAGTACAAGAAAAAGTCAAGACGCTCCATTTCACGTCTACCACACTCCACTTGCGATAGTCTGGTGGATGTGTCTGTACGTTAAATCATCCGTATCAGAAATACTCCTTTTCCTGGGGCAGCTAAATCGCTTTTTCTGATTATAGACTGGTTTAAAGAGATGTTGTTGAGGTCTTCTCAGACTGGCAAAAGGTCCGTGGGTGACTCAATCTGCTGCCAAGGATATGGTGGGCAGTGATTGAACTGAAAATACCATGTTGACGACCTGGTGGTTCACATGTAGGCGGTAGCCTGATCAATGTGTTCTCCTGATTTCACCTGTAAAAACTGATGATATGAACCTCATGTTTGATATCAGTTTCATCTTCGTAACCTCTTCAAACACTTCTATCTATGACAAAGATGCCATCGTGTGTGCCACTACATAAATGTCCATATGGAGACAACAAAACACCAATGATTTCATGAGAAGTGAAAAATTGTATAGAACGTGACACTGAGCAATCTTGATATTTGCGAATTCTATGAGTTTCTTCTGAGCAATCTAGAAAACAGCTACATATATTATTTTGAATTGAATTATGGCCAAATATTTATGTTAGAAACATGTGTTTTATATGAAGTCTTATTTAGACAATAGTGTCGTACTATACTGGTTGGTCATGAACAGAATCACTGCCACATGCAAAACAGACTTAAATTTAAATTTCATTTCTTTTTCAATTTTACAGGCAGTCTTCAGTTTCAAATCTAATTATAAGCTAAACGTCTTCACTGTGGTGACGAAACGCATCTCCTTTTTAGACTACTACTCACATCGATGGCAATGTGGAGATATGGAATTCAATTATCATCAAAACTATCGATAGAATAAGGAGCTATGTTTCCCTTAAGCACCCTTGTTAACTCCAGGTTATCACTGTTCTCCATGCTGTACACATGTTGAAGGCTTGTAATGAGCAGCAGCGCTGCATGCAAGGATAAAATGCGCTTCATGGTCAGAACATGTGGAAACGATGATAGTAATGACAAAGCAAGCTCTATGATAGGGAGAAGCGCCTATTGCATGGACATTGCAACTCCTGTAGCTTGTTTTCGCTGCGCTTGTTTCCAGAAACATTTTTTTGTTTACAAGTTGATTACCTTTTGATATTTCGACGCAGGGTAGACAATTCTTAACAGAGAGTCATGTAACTGGGAGTAATGAGGACCAGCTTGAATTAATCTGTGGGAAATGAAATGTGTTTACCGCTCTAAACGGTACAAGTATGTGTGTGGTGTCGCATGTAGTTTATTGAGGAAATTGTAGGTCGTGCCAAAATCTCTACATTCTGCCTAACAAGACATACCGCTATGCATATTTGTCACGATTTCATAGAACACTTCTCTCATCGCTTGATTGCCTTTGTCTGCAATTGCCGTAACGAATGAATGGGAACACTGTGTTTGGATGCTTGTTCTCTAGTCTCTACCCTGGAATGGCATTCATCACTGTTACCCTCCTGCGTGTGATCTGTTTGCGGTATGTAGGCAGCACTCAGGCAAAACATTGCTCTATATTAAACTAACTGTTCAAACACCAACGAAGCGCCTAAGTTGTAAACGATATATACCCATGTAAAATGTTACATCAAGATAGAACTGTAACTGCTGTACCAGGGAACCTGTATCAAAATCTGTATTTGTACAATGTTATGATTCATGTTGTATCTCTATCATCAGGTTGTATGGAGGAAACTCCCCATGGCGGGGCCTCTTACCGTCGGCACGAAGACGTGGGTGAAGGATAAGCGAATTCACGTAGAACATATGCCTAACAGTGACCAGTGGAACCTTATAATAGAAAAGGCAAATGTTAATGACTCAGCCACTTATGAATGCCAGGTCAGCTTTAGGAGCAAAAAATTGCGTCAGCTTATAACGCTCACTGTAAAAGGTATGTTTAATCATGATTTATTTTACAAAGACACCTTTGGATAATTTTCATTTTTTTTGTTCTGTTTTCCCTTTCAGGAAATGTGATTATGTGGATGAATGGATTTTGTTTTACGCTGACATCAGCAATATTTCACCTTCATAACGTCAGCCCTCGTTGTTTCTGTCTTTCATGTTAATATTACCATCGATCCGTGGGCTGTAGGTTTGATTTAAATGCATGGAGCCGATAAGGGAACGTGTAAGGTTAAGATCGTCCAAAAGGAATATGCTTCCATATTTTGCAAAGTTGGTTCCAATTCGGTTTGATAACGGTATGTTATAATTATGCAGTATATATCACTCACTACAATTTAAAGTAACTACTAACAGAATATGTATCAATCTAATCATACGGACCATGTTTTTATTCAAAGCTATTCATTTACATCACAATGAGATCAAAAGCGTCGACACTTGTGCGTAAATAAGGGGGTTTCATATGTTGAGGTACCACTGGCCTGATCTGCGAAATGTAGCTTGATGCATCTTGTGATCTCTGATGGTCTGACGTGGGTCAGCTGACATTGTAGAAAAAGTCTACACAGGAGACTAGTGGTCCTCACATTTAAATTCAAACCAGTGCTGATTTAGCATTCCTCATGTCACATCCGTCGCAGTGGTGCTCAGCTTCAAAGCGACGGAAGATGGCGGCTTATGTGTTCCTATACCTTATAGATTTTCTACTTTTTTCACTTCATGCCTGCTCTAAATTAAATCCTTCAGATAAGTCTTCGATGGGCACATGGTTTTCATATAATCGTCAGTGTTCAGTTGATATTTTAGTCACACAGCCTTTGCAAAGCCATGTACTGAATATACGTCATAATACCAGATCAGAAATAGAACAACACTGCTCGGTGATTTACTCTGAATTGATTTTACTTGTGATTCCTATTTCAGACGATTCAAATAAAGACGCGCCAAGTAAGTAACCCATTTCTATATCAAACACCTATCGGTTGCATATAGAAAGCATATATACTTAAGTTAGTGATGGAATGATTTCAAAATATTAGGCATAAGCTGCAGTTGAGTTTTACACAATATTTCTATTATTCCACACGCTACGACCACAGCTTTAACACGTTCAGAAGCACCACGTCTTCCTCTGGAAATGCAATCACCAGTGCATGCAAGACTCACCACCACCAGCCCATGTATGCTCTAACCACTGACTTGTCAATGCTGATAATTAGAAGCATAATTCTATGTTGTTTGCAGATAAATGAGTGAGTTTAGTTTCACGTCGCACTCAGCAATATTCCAGCTATATGGCGGCGGTCTGTAAATAATCGAGTCTGGACCAGACAATCCAGTGATCAGCAGCATGGACATCGATCTCCGCAACTGGGATAGGACGACATGTGTTGCAGGTTAATGTTTACATAAACATCTGTGTGGTTTGTACATATGAACAACCATGATCCACAAGAAAGCCATATCAGTTTACGCAAAAACAATAATGTACATGCACACTATCTGTCTGAACCAGTTCAGAATGGCCTATTTTCATGAACTGGATATATTAATCTACAATCACTGATACATCTATCTTGGCCTTTAGAAGGAATTGATAGTAGCTCCGATTACATTTAATAATTCTCGAGTTGATGCAAATTGGTATAAAAGACAATAAGGTATACTTTAAGGTACAATTAGATATCAATAGGTAATAACATAAAACACGCATATTTAAATATAGCTGAGGGCTATTTTCTTATCGGTAGGTAAAAATGCATTTAGCAAAGGTCACTTAGATATTATTAACAACACCTTTACTTGATGAGCATGTTATTGATTTTGCTGCTGTTAGAAATGTTCTATATTTTAGTTTTCGTTGTTTGCGCATGGCCTATATCTATATATTTAATAAGTACTTAATAGTGACATATGTGTAAGTGCATGGTATTTCAATACACTTTTACTTCCTCTCCTGCAACAGGTTTCTAGGTATACTGTACATATGTATATAGTGTACATCTATATCACTTTGCATGGACGAACTTTCACACATGAGGGAGTACTCTTGTTTTTCTCGAAAATGAGTTATTTTCTTTTCACAAGACAACTGACGGTTGCATCATGAGATGCAAATGCATAATGTAGAAATTTAACAAATATTTGTTCAGCGAAAGAAACCGCGAATACAGCAAAGAAAAAGATATATTGGTCTAATTTTCTTTTGGCTAAATTCCTTCGCTGTGCATGAAATATGGCTTTGATCATGAACTGAAACAGTGTATTATTTATTTATGGAAGGAGATACTTGGTAAGTATATTCATATTTGACGACAGATGTTGTTTTGGGTATTGATCTGTTTCCACTTCTGTCGCCAGAGATTGGTAAGGGGAAATAACTCATTTCCGTAACCTCTGACATTACTTAAAGACACCAGAGAGTGTGGAATGGCTTTTTACGTCGTCTAGTGGCGGGCTTGATCTCTTCGTTGTGGTCGTGGCACCAGTCAGAAATCAATTTTGAAAGTCTAAATTATGATTTTGATATGCAGAGATCGTTTATTTTTCAGCTCTTTCCATTTCAGGGATTCAAATAAGTGGCGAAAGTTATCTTAAGAAAGGACAAACGTTGAAACTTACTTGTAACGCCAGCTTAATTGATGAATCCATGGACGGGTTATGTTGGTACAAAGATAATGACATCCTGACTACTCAAGGGGACAAACGGATACAAGTGTTAAGTTCTGTGATGCTCTCTAGAACCTCAAGTGGACATATGAGCAGTGTGTTAGAAATCACTGATACCACAGCCAGTGATAGTGGAAATTACGTGTGTAAATCGCCGGAAAATTCACAGATGGCGGGAGTCCGAGTGGAAGTATTGAATGGTAAGTGTTCATAAAAAATACTGACAAGTTAGATATTTATTCATATTTGAATATAGAGTCACGCCTTTCTCTTGGCTTCCTTAATACATTAAAATGAAGGATGAATTTTGTATGAAAATAACATTAAAACACTATTGTTGACAAGTTTAAACACGAATAAGCATGTAACAACATGACTTGCGGAATACCTCAACGGGTAAGGACATGTGCAACAGGACATCACAAACCTTTAAGTTCAAATCTCACAATGTTAAGAGCCGCCAAGAAAAAGTGAATATCCAATACACTATGAAAGCCATTTAACCAAAATAGTTATTGTTTCTTCACCTGAAGTAAGTATAGTTAATGGCTGTGAATACACCACAATAAATATGGATAAGAGTTCTGTTCTTAGGCCATTTGATTTAATGACATAATATTAAGTTTACGGTTTGTTTGCTTCATGTAAATGTGGTTCCTGTATTTTGTTTTGAGCATCAACAAGTTGTGAATCCCAAAAGTCCTCCTCTTACCCCATACCACCCACACACACATCCCAAAACACACACACACACACACACACACACACACACTTTCCAATACCATCGTTTCCGATATTTTCACGTTGCAAAGTCATCGGGTGTGACAACGTTCATTAGACCCTAGTGATTGGTCCATGTGATTCATTGAGGGTAGATCGTGCTTAGTAGTGTATTTAGACGAATCTTATGGGACTACTTATGTTCATTGACCAAAATGTGCCTCGATTACTTAATTAACATTCAACACTTCCTTGTGATATGTCAGTATATAATAATTTAAGTATTATGGTATTATACACATACAAGTAAAAACCTTCTGATATTGTTTAAATTGTGCTTTTGGTTCAAAGCCGAACTCGGAAATATCGCAGTACATGACGGCCGCTTGTTAGTTATCTGGTCTATGCAAGACAAAACAGGGAATGACATTGTTTGCAATCATCCACAACATCGGTGTACCATGACACGCTGTCAGCTAAGTCACTTTCCCTGACCACCCATTCCTCTTACGACCAGAAAAAGAGCAGTCAAATCTGACAGTGTGTGGAATTCGTACAAGAACATATAGGAGATAACGTACCATGTGTCTATACGTTATAAGTAACTCCGCAAAATTGGCAACACAATCCGAGTTAAATGTTACTACTGTTCATCATTTTTTCTTCACTTGAGTGAGCTACTCGCATAAATTGTGCGTACCGTCAAGCGTTATTTCATTAACTATGCCCATACAATATGTGCTTATGGTTCAGTGAGTGATAATTCTCACCATTCTGATTACATCAATTACTGACATAACGGAACACGTGTTGCTTATTATCTCAAAGTGGAAGGGTGTCAGCAGATATTGACATAGCATATTGTTATTAGATAATCAAACATTGAAGATTACCACCCATTGTAATAAATGCTTTGTGCTCCGGCACGAACTATCAATCGCCAAGGAATGCGTAATGTTGTATTAAGTGTCTCGGGTGTAAGAGCTTCAAACTGTTGTCTGGCATGACAGTCATGTGGCGAGACAAAACACTATTTCTTCCATACAACGTCAGGGGAATAACAGGTATCAACCATTTGTAATTATATTTGGAATTGGCGTGACCAAAATTACTTTCACCTTTGGGTAATACAGTTCAACCGAAACAGAGATGTGTGTAAAGATACACTTTACTCACTGCACCGTTGATATAAAATAAATGTTAGCGTTTGCGTTGAGACAACAGCTCCATGGTAGAGGGACATCTACATCCTTAATGCCTACCTTTAGAATATATTTAGAAAGTATAAGTAGTTTCATTATCTTCCGATTATAGTTTTCATAACACAGTTCACATGAAATATGCATACTAATGACTATAACATAGATCAATACAATATGCCGTTGTAAGCACTTCCACTATCAATCAAGAAATGATAGGCGCATTATCTTCAGCAAACTTAAGTGACAAATTGTCAGTTTAATAGTCATTATCAATTTGAACTACTCAGTGCATGGTGGTTTTATTTCCTCGTATGTAATTTCATTGCGGCTCCTGATTTATGTTTTTCGATCGTGGCTCATTAAGTCCCCGTGTTCTGGTTTTAAGAGAGAAATCGAAGTTCGAGTAAACTTCCGACAGAAGATTTTCTAATGAGGTTTAAACTTTAAATGATTACAAAGCTATTGGGTGAACTTCATGAGAAAGATCAAGGTCCCCACATGTAGCATTAAATTTGTTGCAAAGACCAAGGGCAGAGGGTTAATGCAGACTTTATAAACAGTTGTTTTTTACGTTTGCCAAACAAATCCCTTCAGCTACATTTTACATAAATCGTAATGCCATGATAACCTTTTTGTAGTTATGTATTTCCGTATCGTTGAGTAAGTCATGCTTAAGTTCAAAGTATATTTATTTTAAAGATTTACTTTCTGAATTCTATTTAGGGTAGGTTTAACATACATTTACGAGATACTTTACGTTTGCATTCGTTAAGCCTAAGGTTAAATGTAGAGACACATTCCATAGTATGATACGAACACTTCTTGTGTGTGCTGGGAAGAAAGTACCCCACTAATCAGGTTTTAAAAATTGTGTTTTGGTGTGTTGTTTATTGTTTTGTTCAAAAGAATATTGTGTTTACATCCACACGAACTACCGTCTCACCCCAATCAAGGTTTCTACCGGTCCATGAACTAATTACAGACACACGTGCATGTCTGCTAAACGCATTCGAAAGGAGTTTATGCATATATCCGTGGCATTCTGTCACTCACTTACTTTGATTTAAAGCGTGCCTGAGTATATCTGTACGTGATGGTAAACAGATAGACATGTGGGTATGAGTATTTATGGCGAGACAAATATTTTTCTTGACAAATGGGTTACAGACACAATCACACATGAATCTAACTCAGTGTGTGTTTACATGTGATAGTCTGTTGCATGAATTCAGTATATTACAGATATTACGAGTGCCAAGCAATGCTTTCTCGCAGAAAGAACAAGTGATCAGATTCATCCTGAAAGCGCCAAGAAGCACCAAAGCACATTTGTGACATTTTTAAAGGTTACATGATTACAATCGGTTTCATATTTTACCACAAGACGACCTTATTCAACATTGCAGTTATAAAGGTTGGAAGTATTTAAATTCTTAAAGCAGTAGTTTGCTTTGAAATGAATGACACTGAAAATACGCTGCATCGACATCTGCTAAATATCACCGTTTCCGTGTTGTCATTATGCTTTTTCTCTTTGGCAGGTTCCCAGAATATTAAGCGAGGTAAGATCCATTTTCTGCTGCCTTCAACTCTGTCTTCATTTTCTTTGATAAGTCTATCTCTGCTTGCAATCGATCTGATTTTGAAGCCATCTGAAGGATAATTGGCTTTAAAACATCCTCACCCATTCACTTTCACGTATGGACGTCTGTAATGTATTTCCTATATGTATTTGTGTATAGAAATAACATATAGGTGTTCGTTATGCTGAAATTGGCACTGGCCCTTTTAGTTATCATCATCTTCACCACAGCACAGCCAGAGCGACCGGATATTTGACACACCATTGCATTGCTAAATTGGCAATAAATAGCGCATTTACACCGGTTACCTTCTCCTAGTCTGTACTGGGAAACAGTGGAAAGGAAGGAACCATACATTATTCAAACCCATTGACAACTCAAGGTGGTATAGTGGCTTAGAACTGAACCTGAAATGTTTTTACAAGTATCATATTGAAATAGCCGGTGACAATGTATGTAATCTGTTACTATATTTGTTTAGATTCTTGTGAATACTGAATTCTTCGCCATTAAGATTGAACATCCTGGCATATTTGGAGAGAGAAACTGATTATTTTATGTTTCGCATTTCATCCCAGACATGCATGCATATTAGACTTCGTTCAAATGTTATAAACACCTATGATGCCACATTTTATTTTCCTCTGTGGCGTACCTACCGAACACTCTCTACCTGGGTTGTCACAAATGGGCTGCTACCCTTAAAAGAGTGAGTGAGTGAGTTTAGTTTTTGGCCGCACTCAGCAATAATCCAGCTATATGGCGAGAGACACACTCCAGTGATCAACAGCATGAGCATCGATCTACGCAACTGGGGTACGATGACCTTAAAAGAAGGGTATATAGTGTTCAGGTTATACTGTTTCGATGGCTGAATAAAAAGTGCTGACCAAGGATTTATGGGGCAAATATCTTCAAAACTGGCTACATCAATTGTGGTCAAACGGGTTCTTTTGTGTCTAACCTTAAACTTATATGTTCGTTTGAATCAACCACAATTACAACATATGTAGTCATCGGAAATAAGAAAAATGTCATGTGACATCATGACATGCTGCTTCATGTGTGTGAGTTTTTTAACATTACTAAAATACAGAAGTCCCATGCATGTAGACACATTTTCATTCTTCCTTGATCTTTGAAATTAACTGTTGGCTGTACATTCACAGTTCCACCCGATCCAGTGGAATCGATGGATATGAAAAGTTCTCCAAACAAGAAGAAACATGTAAGTGGGTGCTCACATCGTGTTCTCTCAGACAGTTACCTTCTCTCAACGACTTTAATCACTGCAATCCTTACACTTGTGAGGAAATAACCCGGGGATATTCGAAGCAAAGACGCTGTGATATGTGATCTCTTCTAGCATCATTTGACGTTAAATAGGACGGCAATTATTGGCGGTGTTTCCCAACAATGACGACTATCATGTTACTATTGGGGACGAGTTGGACGGTATTGCCAATATCATCTGGTGCTGTGCTATTTGTGCAAGGACGCAGTTGAGGAGGACGAGTGGGATTTCAAACAACTCGCCTATCATTGGGCCCAGACTTAGGATGGAAGACTTCTACATTTTCACATTACAAAGTGCTTCGTTCACATTCCAACACATGTCAGTATTATGTACACATCAGTCAACTCACGTCTATCGTTTAGTGGAGGATTCCGACATCGCCCTATACACCTGAAGGTATGTATTGGAATCGATTAATTTCACCATTGCTGAGCGACGTCGATTAAGCTCTTTTCTACTTTCACCAGAAGCAAAATATGGAATTTCACGTGTGAAATTTTATTGAGTGTCTCGTTACATCATGAATTCGAATTGCAAATCTTGCGTTATATTTGATAGTGTGACATATAATTGATTCGGTGATCACATGTGGTTAAATATGACACTTGGGTGTAGCACGGCTGGATTAGTTGCTTTCCAGCTGTGAACATGTGTGAATAGCAGTAAAGCTTACGATGAATACCTTCAACAAGAGATCTGGAGACTCCCCTGGCAAAGAACGAAGATAGTTGTCATACTCATTATTTTCTCTTTACGAGCTAGCCTCTCTCTGACCCATGGACGGCTGGACTATTTATGTACAAGGAACAAGCAGATAGGCATCATTGTGATGCGATTTATGATTCAATGGCTGGTCTCCCCTTCCCTGAATGAGATACGAGTTATGGTGTCTACTAAGATATAATTTTAAACATTTACTATATTTCGTTTTCAGTGAGCAGTGGAGTATTTACATGTCTCACGGAAGATACGAACGTGTTCATAAAAATTCCTTTCCTAACAATATCATAATATCGAAATAGGCCATCATGATAATGTCAGCAACTGGACGTAGCAATGTAACAATTTGTGAAATTGTGCTGAGACCCTGCCTGTCACATCACGGAAACATTTGTCAGCGATGTTTAGAGTAAATGGCAACATAATCATACAGGACCTACTGACCTTTATTAACACCTTTAGTGCAAGACGGACTATCAGAGGGACGTGCCCAGGAACAGTTGCATACACAATTAGAACTAAGGACTATTCGTACACATTACAACATTTACCTATATCTAACGGGTAGTACATGCGACTTGTGGGCCTTTCATCATGTACAAAGCATCATGGTACAGACGTATGGTCTTCGGGGAACTTTGGACATCCATGTACGCGTAATAAGCAAATGGGCTTAATGACGATAATTCAGGTAAATATACGCAGTGTGCAATACTTATGTGTATGATGTGTGGTCATATCCTGAAAATCTTCGCTATAGCGAGTTTGTGGGGTTAACGAAATGTACCCCACTACAGCAATGTGTAGATACCTCATAACATAGAGGTATATTCAGTCTGTGAAACGTATGGGGTGAAATATAACGTGCGTCCGAGGCGTTAAGCCTTAAAGGGTTAACAGACGCAAGTGATTTAGGTATTAATCCGAGGGTTGTGTATAGCAAGTTGTACTACAGTCTTTCACGGTAAGTAGATTTTGTACATTTCTTACACCTTGTCTTTGTAAATACAAATGTGAATAATCTGTGATATGTGGAACATGCGGGCTACTTCAGGTCTATTGTTTATAGTTTTTGTAGTTCATATATTGCAATGGATATTTTGTTTTCATTGGCCTGTGATTAATGTCATGTGCTAAGAAGAAGCATACACGAATTTGCAAATAACACTTAAGAATTGATAGTGCTAATTGTCTATTTTACAAACAACATAATCATGTTGTGAACTTACATGTGTGTTGGTCACACTTTGATAGTTGCATAACATCGTCTTTGAGGCGAGTATATGTTGCAATTTATGCTAAAATAGCCTCGCTTTCTTTGATTTTATGGACGGAAATAAGGGATTTATTGAAGTGATGAATTCTATTTTCTTTACTAAATATATAACAGCAAGGATGGGACATGCTGACAGTTCATAATGATATACATATTGGGACCCAAAGGGTCGCGTGCCATTATCTGGGCGCAGTCTGGTGCAGGATCCAGACCCACTCCTCCTGCAGAAGTTGACAGACATTACGACCACTGTCACCACACAGATGGTCAGTGGCTTTAGGGCAGGGAGTTTACTTGGCATATAACAGAAACAGCAGTTCACATGTATGCGAATCGGATCGACTAACCGAAGACGTTTTTTAACATTGATACGCGGAAAGAGTACAACCATGTTAAGTCAGTCTACCATAGCTGCAGGTGATTACTGATCCATCGCTTACGAACACGTCTGTCAAAAAGGTTCCGGTCATTTGTCGACAAGGAACATCCATTCATCAAGGAACATTGTACGATGTCATCTGTCCTTTATCATACTTGATAATGATCTGAATCTGTCCCATGCTCTTGGAAACATGTTACCTATGAATATTCCATTACCATGAAATCATGCAAAATGAATTGAGATCACGATAACCTCTCGGAGAGTGACTACATACCTCTTTCTACCCGTTACTCATGCCGTTTTTGCTCCGTTTTGTTTCGCATCGGTGATAGTAAGTGTACGCGTTGCTGCCACAAAACAACGGTTGCTTTTATCCTACAATTGCTCTGCGCTGGTGACAAAAGCATGACACTAAGAAATGTTTTGAGAACATTCGTCTGAGAATGTGACTACTATTTAATCTGTTTCTAAAAACTTCTAATGTGATCTCTTATTTCCGTCCGTTGCTGTATTTACAGTAAATACGTTTTTCACTCTGCCAAACAATGCGTTTTCGTTTTCGTCGAGGCATGTTGGGGAGGAAGAAACAGCCATGGGAATGGTACGTAAATATCGATCAATAATGCATCATCGGCCTCCGTAATAAGAACACATCCAGCAGTAGCCAAGTTCTAGGAATAGAACCTGTAACAGACCACTGTGTACATCACTCTGTTGTATTCTTTCCTACAGTCTTAAATCTACATCAGCAGTGACCTCACGACTGTGCAAATTGTGAGGATTTATGACTCTGTTGTAGGCAAAACAGGAAAATGGCACATGTCCAAATTGCTGTGTGTGTGTCAGAGCTACTTTTGAAAGCAAGCGAAACGCTTCTCCTTAGCACTGCTGGTGTGTTGTATGTTTTCTCATGATGCACATATGCAAAGCTTCTACGCTGTTGAAAGCCATAATGATTGGTGTTTCAAAAACATAAATGTATTGTTTTACATGGTTGCAAAGGCGATAATGAAATATTGATTTATCAAATATTACATTGTTGCGTTATCTGGAGACAGATACTTTTCATTTGATGTAAAAACATACTGTTATTACAAGGCAATTTAGCTGATATCTCACTGTTAAAATTTCAGTGTTGCATTGAAGGGTTTTATCATGCTAGAGCGTTGTAAACTACAAGCAAATAAATGGCTTTTGTTAGAATATCTGAGTAAGTCACCGTGTTAACTGTTTTTAGGTTCTTCAATTTAAGGCTTTTCTCCGTCCATATCATTTCAAAACAGTTCACCATCCAGTGTTGGTTAAAGAACTCATAATGAAAAGTCGTCATGCTTATAGTTGTCTTAATGTGTCGTCTCCTTTGACGTGAATTCTGATGCGGCCGTTACCAGATAGAGTCAGCACCTGTGAAAAATACCTGTTAGTCAACACGTCAAGCATATGTTGTTATTCGGTTGCATCAATGCGACACCATCTCAATTTGTCATTGACACAAAGTTGTAATTATTACTCTTGATAATTGCTGATTTTGTGTTCCATTGTATATTGTCTGTAGATATACATGAGTATGTAAATTGGGTATAACATCATTTAATCATCATTTTTCATATGTATATATCCATTATTGATGTATATAATCTGTAAATATTATGACATGCATTCATGTAAATTAAACTGAACATGATGAATAGACTTTGCTTCTTTTTTTTCAAGAAATACTTTGCACTCACATATGTTGACATGAAGAAGAGCGGTGGGGTAGCCTAATGGTTAAAACGCTCGCTCGTCACCCCGAAGGCCCGGGTTCGATTCCCCACATGAGCACAATGTGTGAAGCCCATTTCTGGTTCCACCGCCGTGATATTGGTGGAATATTGCTAAATGTGGCGTAAAACCAAACTCATTTACTGACATGATAAAATATATAAATGCCTTCTGGCATCGAAAGCGATGGGGTAGTCAAGTAGTCACATGTTGTTCATCACACTGATGGCCCAAATCCTCCGATGTGTCTTCCGTGGGAACAATTAATGCATTTTGCTAAAAATAGCACATAATCAAATTAAATCCTTTCGAGTACAAGTTGGCTCTTACGTGAATCTTGGTTTACTTGAATCAGATCTACCCAGAACATTTAAAGTATAATTTCTATATAATATTACCATTTCTCGTCCGTCACTTAGGGACCGTTCATAATTTATAGCTAGGGGGAATGATGATGATTTTTATAGACAAGCATGTACAATGTGAATTAACCCCCCCCCCTTAAAAAAATTTGATGTACAGCGTGTGTGCACCCCCCTGCATGCACCCCTTAAATCACCCCCCTACCCCAAGTCATAAATCATGAACGGTCGCTTAATTGTATGGTTTGTTGGTTTGTTTACAGGCCATCGTTGTAAGGCAGGAGTACTTTTCAGAGAAAACAAATTCTAGTTGCATAAGTTGTGTGAGTAGCGGTTGCTATCGGGAACTGTAGCCCGATCTTCATTTAGGTATCACCGTTATCTTACCTTTCTGCGCAGAGCATCTGTTTCGACAGAAAATCGAGTTATTTTCTGGCCTTGACATTTTACATTTCAATACTGAACATAACATAACGACCTTCCACTCAGCAAATACCCCGTTTATCATTAGAAATGCATATTTTAACTTATCTGAATACATGTTTTTGAAATTTGATCTTCACTGATCACACAGAACATTTTCAGCATTTTCCAACCATAAAGTTTTGGGTGTCGTCCCATGGGAGACTAATTTCGAAATACAGTTTTGAAACTTCCCATGTGACATTGGAAACTTACAAAGTTGAGCCTAAAATCAGTTTACGTAATTCTTTGAATTCAAGCCAATATAGAACATCACACTTTTTGAGGATTATTACATGTGTCACGTGGAATGTTGTCGATGAGTGAAAAAGCATTTTACATGTAATGATATCATATATCTAGGTTACACGACGAGTATGATTTTATGTAAAGTGTTTTACGGCAATCTCAGCTATGGCATCGATTTGATCTTTGCAAATTAAACATCACATTTTGTCTTGTGAATTCCTTTTAATCAATTTTATACACATACATGTGTTTGATTATCAGGGTGTACTTGTGTGAGCCGTGTGTGTACAAGCCGTGGAGACTTCGCACTTGATATACGCAATCCGGGCCACACCTGTTAAAGGTTTGGGTTGGATCGGTTGTTGTTTAACGCCGCGCTCAGCAGGATTCCAACTATATGTCGGCCGTCTGAAAATAATCGAGTAATTCCAGTGATCAACAGCATGGGCATCGATCTACGCAATTGGAATACGATGACATGTGTCAATCAAGTAAGCGAGCTTGACCACCCGATCCCGTCAGTCGCCTCTTACGACAAGCATAGGTTACTGAAGATCAATTCTAACCTGGATCTTCACGGGTACCTGTAAAAGGCCTCAGTTATGATAACCGATATCTAGGTGAGGGTAAAACTTCAAGTCAACTCAACAAAACTCGTCGCTATATGGCTGAAACAATGCCGATGCGACGTAAAAGTTCAACTCAACTTTAGGTGTCAATTAGCCTTTTACTTTGTGGAGATCCTGATGTCGATCCTGGCTCTATAGGCTACTAACAAGGGCTTCATCATGAACGCAGTAACTTCATATCTCCTTTCATTGAATCTCATTCTCAGCTCCCCGGGGAGGTTACTACATGAGAGTACTACTCAAGCTGCATCTGAAGTGTTATATGGTTAACATTGTATTCTACCTGGTACCCATCCTAACGAGAGACTTATTTAATGTATCAAATAACTGATTCGTACTTTCTGTTTAGTAACGACTGACTTCCTGAGTTTGGTTTTACGCCGCTTTTAGCAATATTCCAGCAACATCACGGCGGGGGACACCAGAAATGGGCTTCACACATTGTACCCATGTGGGGATTCGAACCCGGGTCTTCGGCGTGACGAGCCAACGCTTTAACCCTTGGGCTACCCCACCGCCCCGGTTAGTAATGAATTGTGGCAACAAAAATAAATACGTATTCGCATCGGCAAACTAGAAAACGTTTCATATTGATATTCCACGAAAAAAAGCCTTCTTAGAGTTGCAAAGCAGTTAAACAAAGCCCTATATTTCCATCTCTATGTTATTTTCCATTTTCATGACATATGCACGCACGACACATTATATAAAGTGGTTGATACAGAAAAAAGAAAGATTGTAGTTGAGCTGTTCAATTTTGTAGGAGAGGAGAGGAGTAATATATAAATGAGAAATCTGGATCTTGATTACCTTGACTGTGAAAATAGGAATATGAAACTGCACTTCCTGCACCGTTTGTTTCATCTGTGTTTGGTATTACCAAGGAGACAAGATGTCTCCGTTGCTGAAAAGGCCTGATCTGTCTCTTTCACATATGACGACATTTGAAAGTTTTGTATTGATTTAACAACATTAAAAACCAGACCTTGCGTAAACATATCAAGACTTTTGACAGCCTCGCTATATCCTCGGTTAATTGTTTTTAGACATCTAAGACGGCATGCAAGCAGTTCGCATTGTAAAGAAAATACCTAATAAAAACAGTCACTGGAAGCAAGGAATCTTCTTTAAACCTTGGTTTCCATTTTACAGCAGTTCTTCCGTTTGTTGTGGATGCAGAGATCTCTCCTCGGCGTGCAATCAGATTAAAACAACCAACATTATTCAATATTCACTGGAGTTTACAATGGTTTCCCGTGGGTATATATATTACAATGGATTCGCCTCGTGGTTAAGGCTCTGTGTCCTCACGCCGAAACCATGGATTCCAGTCACGACTCCAATGTGTAAACAAACAGAAGGGACAAACTGCTTTCCATATTTAACATATATTAGGTTTGGGATTTCATTTTCACAGTAAAGTACATATTCTAGTAGTTTGTGGGGGCTGAATCCCATCCGGGAGTTGATCCCCCAAAATAGTGTACTGAGAAAGTAAGTGTAATCCCAAATGACATGATATGTTACAATTGACCATTTTTAAGAAAGCACTGTAGATTGAATGCTTCGGCCTTGGGAGCCGTGCCAGTTTACACTTGTAAGAGGGGTTGACAAAGTAAGTAATCTTCATAACCAGTTGTAGACTGTGTGGGTTAGATCGCTGCCTTTGTGTGTCGACGATTGGCTGTCTGAGACACCCCAAAAGTACTTAAATCTGTACTTTGGGAAAGGGAAATGATCCCAAATATAACATATGTTACACTTAACCCCTTTCTAAAGATGCATTGCATATACTTTCCATATTGATAGGAAATATCTGCCCAAAGTAGAATGCAGTGAAAATTCCGATCTTATCATGATCATGCGTCCATGAGTAAGTGAGTGGGAGAGTGCGTGAGTAACTGCGTGACTGAGTTGGATTTTACACCCCTTTTAGGAACATTCCAGACATCTGACAGGAATGAGCTTCACACACAGATCCAGCATGAAAATGGTGATGGTCTGGTTTTCGCTAAAAAGGTGAGCGTGTAACTTCATTTCCTCATATTACAAAACACAGAACACCGGAACATGCATGTACCGAAATAGGGGATTGGACTGAAAATCATGTTGGTAAGTTTTCGTCTAATTTTGAAATGTCATCCCCTCTTTGAACCTTCAACAAGCAGCACGAGTGCAAGACTTGTACGAAGCCCTTTCTCATCGGAGAAGAAAGATCATGATCGATTGTGCCACATACGTTGTCAAAATGTAGATACCAAAGTCCATTTCAGTTACTCCATGCCGTGATATCACTTTCTTGTGCAAAAGTTGATTGATCAAAGATCAATATTCAAACCTTTGTGAGTTTCAGTTTGTGTGACCGCCTCCGTGGTGTAGTGGTTAGAGCGTCCGCCCGGAGAGCGGAAGGTCGCGTGTTAGATCCCCGACCGCGTCATACCAAAAGACGTTAAAATATGGTACTTGATGGTCTCTGCCTGGCGCTCGGCATTAATGGGTACAACAAGGACTGGTCGGCTTGGAGTCAGTATAATGTGTCTGAGTGGGGTATTCATGCTCCACTGCGGCATGGTATCTCAGTGGGCTAGCACTATAAAACCAGCTTCAGTCTGGGCTAGTACAAGCAGCCGCACATACACATACACACGCATGCACGTCGTCATATGAGCGAAATATTCTCAAGCACGACGTAAAACCCAATTTCACCTCACCTCACCTCAGTTTGTGTTATGTGCAGATCATTTCCAAGGTCGCCATATAGCTGGAATATTGCTGAGTGCGGCGTAAAACTGAACTCACTCGCTCATTTCCAAGGTTGCGGATCACTGACAAAACTCATGTCAAGTGAACAACTGACTTGCCATCGCGTTTTTTGACAGGAACCAATTGTTCTAGACAACATGCAGAATCACTATGTTATAGTGACTAATAAAAACATGGATGTATCGGTATGTATTTACTTACTTTGGCCTTTATATGTCTCATATGAATGATGTCTCATATCGATGATAACTATTTCGAAAATTAGCGGGCGGTAGGGCAAGCTAATGGTTAAAGCGTCCGCTGAAGACCCGGGTTCGATTCCCCACATGGGTACAATGTGTGAAGCCCATTTCTGGTGTCCCACTTTGTGATATTGCTGGAATATTGCTAAAAGCGGCGTAAAACTTGACTCTCTCACTCACTCGAAAATTAGTAACAGGAAAAT